AGGAATTTAAAATTTACTGTTATTGATTTGGTGTGCTGTTCATATTGTATTTCAGCTGTAAGACAGCAGTGGATGTGTCACTAGCAGACATGATTCCCAGGAGGGAAGCATTAACATTAAAGTGCATGTTTTATCCCCAAAATAAAATATAAATTAAAAATTAATTTCTAAGGGTTCATTTTCCATATTAAAAATTATCATATAATTTCCAAGTCCCATGAAAAAAAGCAAACAAACGTAACTGTTCACAAATAAAACATGTACAGACGATTAATCTGTACACACAAAATCCTGTCTGTCCGCAAACAGTGGTGTCAGACTCTGCTGGGCAAAATGTTTGTATGTGGGTATGGAGTTCACCTGTTTGCTTACCCTTAGTTTAGGAAGAACTTACTCAATATTTTCTCCTGAACCTGAACATCTGATTACTTCTGACAGCTCACTACAACTGCCATACACCTCAAGAAATGTAAGACACCGCTAACCTGTTAAAAAATACATATCAAACTTTGGTTCACAACTTGAGATCAAATTATAAGCATAGTGATGGATAACTTCTATAGAATTATAGAATATAGAATTTCTCAGTTCTTCAGTATCAAAAAGATAAAAGATGTATTTTCACTCAAATGAATGAAGATTTTCCTACTGACACAACAGTCACATGCTACTCCTGACTTGCTCTGTATGACCCAGAAATGATGTCCCTATGCAACACTGTCAGTGCCCTTACTCTGGCCAGGCAGAAAAAGAAAACTCACAGCAGAACTCAGCTGACACATCCTGATCTACACATACAAAGAAAGCCTCACTGGCACTGACATAGCTTATATTGATGATACTGTGCTGTGCTCTCTCAGCAGTCCTTTACTTGGGGGGCAGAACAGGAGAATTCTTTTTTTTTTAAAAAAAAGGACCTCCACAGTAAAAATAACTTAAAATAAGTGAGCTCATAAAACAGAGTTCCACTTCTGTCCATACAAAGTACAAGAGTAAGCTGCGATGAAGCACACGAGGTTTAGAGGAGGTGATTCCCAGCTCTCTCCCTTTACGGACTTCCCCCGGCCCCGGCCCCGGCCCCGGCCCCGGCCCCGGCCCGCGCTGCGCCAGCGCCACCTGCCGGGCGCGGGCGGCACCGCGCGCTCAGCGCAGCGTCCCCTCCTGTACCAACAGCGACCACGGCTCCACAGGAGGCAGCGGTGCCCCACCACTTCGCACCGAGAATTCATCCTTGATACTGCATTACAGAATTGTAATTCTACTATTATGCCTCTCTTCTCTTATGTCTCTGGAAAATCCAGAATTACAACAATCTAGGCAAAGATGGAAGGTTACACATCGAAGTAATACCTGAAAAACCCCCTGAAGTTACCCTTAGCACACTAAGCTTCCCTTAGTGCAAACTGCGGGAACTTGTTTCTTGTTACTTATTTCTTACAGCAAAACCTGGAATTCAACCTGGTCAAAATAATGCGTGTAGGCTCTTTAATATTTATCAACGAGAAAAGAAAAAGTGATTGCCTAACATTACATATAGAAGATTGCCCTTAAAACTACCCCCACACAAAACTGCTCAGCCACTTGTTTCACTAACAATTCAGAAGAGCATGGCATCTTATCTTCCACTATAATCTCTGTCTGACTTCAGTATAGCAGAATCTCAGATCTCACACTGAGGCTTGTCATTCTACTGGTTAAATCACAAATGCAGTAAAAGAAATAAATCTTTATAATCCTACTGAAGAGTAATGTTCAAAAGTTGTTCTATTTTAGAAAGTAATTCCAGCTGCATTTATCTATAGCCTAAATTAAAAGATATTTTAATGTTTAAAATCTGTCACTGCAATATTATATTCACTCTCATGTAGGATATTGACTGTTAGCATCTCAGTCCCTGCTCTGGTATCACTTTTTAGGTATTTCAACAGAACCTAATGTATTTCCCTCTCATGCCCCAATACTAAGGCAGAAGTTGAGATGATTAAGGCCAAAATTGTCACCAGTGACCAATGTGAGGAACCTAATTTTTCCATGATGTTACTGGCTCCTACACCTCTTCACTTCAATATAACTTCAGACAGGTTTGACACCAGAAGTGAATGTAATGAAGCTAAAACTAGAAATGCCAGGTCACAGATACAACACTTAGGAAGGAGACACATTTAACAGTCACCTGTGGACGATTGGTTAGTATCAGCAGCAAATACCATAAGGGCTGGTTGGAAAACAGAAGAGAACAAATTTTTTAGAGCAATGAGAAGGACTGCAGGCAGAAACACACTCATCACATCCATACTCTTAAAATCTGGAAGCTGTGTAGGCAATTGAGGTTATAAGCCAAACTGACATTTACTGCCTTTCAGCAGAGATCATTATCTGAGAATTGTGCCAACCAGAAGCCATCTATTTGTGCTTAGCAAAATGCATAAGCAGAGAGAACCTGGGCAAACATCTCCCCAGCTGTTATTTGGCTTCATCGTGTCACAGCTCTTTCAACAAGCAGAGGAGAAAATGTAAGACTATTGAAAATAAAGTCCAGTAAGCAAAGGTGGAAAATAGCCAGACTTACTATGTCAAGATACAGAAATGCTGTGAGTTTGTGGCGAATTCATGAAGCTGTTTGAGCAAAAATGTAGCTAAGCCTCTTGCTTATCTTGCACTAGGCTGGAATGAGGCTTTAGAACTGAATGATGCCTGGGGTGAGGCAGAGCTGTCTCAGCCCAATGATGTCTCAGTGAAGCACAGAAGAGCAACCAGGTCTCAGTACCAGCCTCACTCCCCCTTATCAATGCACAACAACCAGCCTCTGTTACAAATCTGTTCCTCTGGGAAGATAATGATGTGAGGTTGTAACATGCTGACAGGAGTAATGTCAGGGGTCCTTCACTGCTCCCTCACTTGGGGGGAGGACAAAACTAAATTATTAGGGATCTGTGCTGCCTTTGTTACAACCAATTCAGCCAAAGGTATCAAAAAATAACTAATATATTGAAAAAGGCACCCACCAATACAAAAATGAGAAAAAAGCTGCTTCTCCACCAACTAAGACCACAGCAACTGGTTACCAACTATATCTGACTACAGTCATACCTCCACTTTTTCAAAATTGGTATTTGAAATCCTCTATTTTTAGAGTATGAGAACATGACCTTACTTCATAGACAATGGGCTTTCTCCTCTCTCCCCTCCCCACAGCAGAGATGACTCTTTGGTAAGATTTGCACCTCCAGCTGCATCAAGAGTATAGCTGGAAACAGTTACACATAGCACTGTACACTCACATTTTGTAGATCTACTGCATTTATCACCAGCAATCTAACAAGAGTCAATGATCTGCTGCTTCAATAAACTGCACTATGTGTGAATCTGGAATTGTAAAAGTTCTTACCGACCATAACCTAACATAACCAGTTAGCCATAATGCCTAACTGGTTAAAATCAGAAATTAAGCCAAGCTGCACTCAGCCCTCTAATCTCTGAGGAATAGCTGGAACACAAAGGAGTTTATTTTCTACCAAATTTCATATGCTTATTGCAACAGCAACTGACTGGTAAAATTAAATAGAACTTCCTTGTTCACAAGTGAAGACCAAAATTGCTGCATCCTCACAGACAAATACAGACTTCAATTGGAAACTTTCAAGAGGAAAAAACCTTTCCCAGACAGGTGGGTTACACTACTGGACTGAGAAGCATGACTTCAAATTATCTCAGCTTTTTTACTGTGGTTTGCAGACCTGCTTGTTTGTCACTCATCAGTTAACACTCATCAGGTATTAATTCGACTTCTAAAAATCGAGAAATAAAGAAAATCAGTGAATAAGGGGCTGGGATTTTCTGACAGTCACAGCATAGCTGCTTACAAATGGTAGTGAAGCTGACCAAAGACTCCAGGAGAGGGGGGAAATAAAAAAAGAAAGACATCTGCCAACCTCACAGACTCTTCATGTGACCTGTATCTGAAAGAGTTATGAGTAGATAGAGCAAGGAGGGACAGAATTGAATCCTGAAGCATCCTGAGGCATTAGGAGGGAAGTATGACAGAGCTGTAATTCACATTCATGCATAACCTGTACAATTGAAGAGTGATAAACTAAAAATCTCTGGTTTTGTGCAATTGCTGTCCAACTCCATGAGTTTTCAGAATGTCCTTTTTCTTCCTCATGAACTTAAGAGATTGGGGTTTTTTCAGTCTTAACCAATTGAATACTCATTTTAATAGGAATAAATCTTTTTCAATCACCAGTGTTATAAGTGCAATCACTTCCTTTTATGTTTTGTTTCCTCAGTGCTCCTTTGTGCTCCTCAAACTTCTGTAGCATTGCACCACTTTCTTCAAACCCTTCCAGAGATTTCTCTATGAAATCCTGTGAAACGTCTCCACAAACTCTTCCAGCAAAGCATGAGTCACAGCCTTGATCACGCCAGCACTTCCACTGAACTCTAATAATCTACATGCAGCACTCCTTGCTTTTGTAAGTGCACTGGTTCTGTCTTATTTGTGCCCATTCATTTGTTGCCTCTTAATACAGGAAAGGGAAGAAAGAAAACCTCTCTCCTTTTGTGCTAAGAGAGAAGATCCTGTCACCATTGCCTTGTAATCTATGGCAGAAGCCTCTTTCTTCTATTTCCATGAAGTATAGGAAATTATGCCTAATGTTTTCTGCTTTTTTAAGACTCTTCACTTTTACCAAGAAAGAATTCATTACTCCAACCACTTCTGCCTAGTCTGTAATGTTTTAATATACTTTATTTTTATATCTTGACCTCCTTTGTTATTAAATCAACTTGATAAAATCTTTGCCTTCTCCAATGTTCCTTAAACATTTGCTATACTTACAGATAAAGGATAAATGCACAGATAAAGCATAAATGCAAAACACTGTACTTCTGAAGCTCATAGAAAAAAAAATTAAAAGCAAGTGAAACAAACCACAGAGACTACTAGAACAACATAAATATTAAATAAAGCACAAATGACAACATTAGAGGGAACTCACCCTGCTTGTGGGTTCACCATTCCCAGCGAGTTTTTATGAGCTGGTGATAACGTCTGAATTTTGCTCCCACTGGATCCAGAAGACAGTGCTTTACTTGAAGAGGCACCTTGCAGTTGAAAAGCAAGCATGGAAACACAAGAAAACGTAAGATTTTGCTGCTGAAATGATACAATTTATTAAAAAAAAGTTAATTTCAAAATTCAAAACAAGAGTTTTAGAAATACAGAGATATGAGATAGTATCAAGATAATAGGAAAAGAAAATATGTTTCAAAAATGTTTCAAAATATGTTTCAGAAAATATGTAATTGAGACATAGTATTTTATTCTAAGAAAACATACTATATGTCAATTACTTTGCTCAGAAAAAATGGAAAGTCAAAGTATGTACAAACAGAACATGTTTGATATCCGATATACCTGAAATCCAAATCAGACCAGTGTTTGCATAATTATAATATACATGCCTTGACTATGTATTTTCACCAATTTATGATCATATTCAGCAGACAAATTAGTTACAGAATTAAGCACTAGATAAATTTCAGGTGAGAGATCAGTATTCAATATAATCATGCATTACTACACCGAATGATTTTTCATATTTAAGTCAGAAAATAAAAATTAAAAATTTATATATAAACCAGAATCCTAACTGCTCAAGAGTTTTTTCAGATAGATGGCAATAAGTGCCCCTTCCAAATTTATTTTCAATGAGATTTTACAAACCACTATATCAAATAAACAATCAATTTTTACTGCATAGTTTGAGAATCACTATTTAGAAAAGACACAGAACAATTCGAAACATTCATTTCATACCTACAACAGTTTTGCTAACACCACTTGGCTGTGGTAAGCGTGATGATGGTGATGGTGTTGATCCTACAGAAGGCATCTTCTTAACTGGAGTAGGTTTGTACTGTAACAAAATACAACCTAGAAATTTAAGCAATTAAATCAAGCTATCTATATAACACAACAGGTAGTTCTTTCAGGTACTGTTGGAGAACAGATGATGATCTCCTACTAGGTAACCTGTTTCTGGTACGGGAACATACAAATGGTTTCTGATAGTCTGTTTTCTAATACTTACAGATGATACTAGCAGGAAACATTAGTGGTTTTGTTGTTCAACTGTATGTCTTTCTCCATTTTTTTTCTACAGCTTTTATCAACTTTTTCCACAGCTGAAATTAAGCTAAAGTTAAGATTAAAAGTATCATCTCATTACCAGTTAATTTAAAAGAGATTACTCAAAGGTAGAATTACTTTTGTCTTTCAAATCCAAATCTTACTTTCTTCTGTGTCGTCTGGACCAGTTCCAGCACTGATTCAAAATACTGTGTAAAACACCTGAATCCCTCTAAAGTCTCTAACTAGCCACAATACTGCTGTGAGTTGTCTTGTAGTCAGGTACCTTTGTTTGCCCCTTAAGCAAGTGTTTAATTGGATTTAGAAATTAGCACAACAGAAATTCAACTTCCTTTACAAAAACTGCATCTCTATTTCCACCTGCTATCTTTACCAGTCATTTGCACATTTCTCAATTACATTTATGACTAGTTTTGGGTTTGCAACTGTTGCCATCTGACGTATGGATCTCTGCAGTTAAGGAAAGCAAAAGCCTCGTCCATGCGTAATGTCAATATTTCAGTCAGTGCAAATAATAAAATTACAGAATAAAATAGTTAATTCTTTTAAAAAGCAACACACTATTTAACAAGCTTGATTTGACATTGAATGCAAGTTACAAGTTAAGAAAAGTGTTGTAGCTCACCTGTGTTCGAGTAGGAAGCTTCCCTTTGGTATCAGCTGCCAATTTCCCCTTATTAGTAATACGTGCAGCTTGCTCCTTACAGAAATTGATGTGTCTGTCAGCTGCATTTTCATTAAATCTCCTCTGACAGTATGGACACTGAATGTAATCTTTAAAACATAAAAATCTAATATTAATAATCTGTTTTTAAAATGAGACTGTTTTAAAGACCAGCTTCTTCTCCAGGGGAAATTATGGCTTCTTGAATCTGAAAACAAAATACAGATTGCTAGGTAAAAACATATTCTCATTTAAAGAATAAGAGTAGCTGAGGATCAAAAATAACCTAAGCAAAATCAGAAACCCTTTAAGAGATGCTATTCTGCAGAGAAGGTAGCCAAAGAAGTACAAGGACATGGCAGAGCGATTAGCTGGAAGTAAGTGGAGAAGCTAAATAAAGAAACAACAAAATATTAAAAAAAAAAAAAATCACAAACAGTTCAGTTTGTTCAAGATATGGGAATATATTAAAACTTTTCCCACACAAGCAGTGAAAGACAACAAACTTGTTTCCTCTGGTAATTCTGAAACAACTGAGAAATACTGACTGTAATACTGGAAGTGATGAGTATTAAAAAAATCAGAAATTTAACAAATAAAAATAATCAGAAGAAAATCAGCCAAAATTAGGAGCTATCTCTAGAGACATGCAAAAGAAAATAACTGGTGGCCACGCTACTTTTGCAAGATTCATTTAGTCACATTGCAAACAATATTACATACAATAAATAATTACTCTCATGGGGGAAAAAACAGAAAAGGTTACATAAATGCTTAAAATATTAAAAGATACATCATCTGCATGCTGGAAATGCACACTTTAAAATACAGTGCCCTTGGAAAATGATATGTTTGGACTGCAGTTTCAGACAACTGGGTATTTCAGTGTCCAGAGATATTAATGCTCTATGCCCTAGATTACAGTATTCAAGATCATGTAAGCATCAACTTAAAAAAAAATTGACACTGGCAAAGCAGGTTAAAATAGTGTGCTTCTAGGTCATTTTAGAAATGTATTAAAGAAAATGAGATGAAATTCAACAGTCACTGCCTCCAAACTTACAATTAGATATTATAAAATCTAAAATAAGTTTTGGATTACATGTTACTAGTCCAAATGCAGTAGATCTGGCTTAAACTTGTCTCTTTAAATATTTATAAACAGTTTTGAGTAAGTTAAATGATGTAATAGCCAGCAAACCATGAACTGTGACCCAAGAAGAGTGAGCTAAGGACAAAGGAAGAACACAGAGAAGTGACAGCATGGGAATCTCATGGGGTAACAACAACAACAATTTATTTTACATATGCTCTGCTACTGTCAGAGCGCTAACATCAACTACACCTTAAGAGACAAAAAATCAGAAACAGAATTGTAATAGCTATGTAGACAAACCAAAATTATTCCAAAGAAAGTAAAAAAAAAAAAAAATTAATAAAGCAGCTGTGAAAGCTCCTAGATAATATACCATTTCTGGCTGGTGCAGAGCTCAGTTCCCACAGAAAACTTTCAAAGCCACAAATGTATCAGACTAGAGAGGATGAATGTATACTCTTAAGAATCAGTGTTGGATCTCAGGAAACAAGTTTTTGAACTTTCTGTGCTTCCAGGCACAGATGCCCTGGAAAACACTGCTCGGGACCTGAAACCTTGGAGAAGACTTGTAAATAAGAATAATGACTTAGAAATCACAAATTTGTAGTGGGTTATAGGTGTGTGTTTTCATTGGGTGATGGGTTTTAAAAAAAAAAAAAAATTGAGGTTTTTACAGTATAGTGGTATTTAGGGGACAAGACAGAGAATTTTGGGTGGTGTCTTTTCTTCTTGTTCACAGTGGTGTCTCTTCCTTCTTCTTCACCGAACTTAGGTGGTAACCTTTGGATTGGTCAGTCAAAAGTCACTCTAAGGGTCATGGGAATCTACTATTGGGTCAAAAGTATAAATAATATAGGTGTTAAACTTCTATTGGTTTGTTTAGCTTTAAAAGCCCTTGAAGCAGTCTCAGCTGTAGCCATTTTTCCTAGTTCTAGCAAGGAGCTAGAGCTACTGTTGTACTTTCTGTAATTCTTTGATAAGATGTAATAAACATCCAAGTCCGAACACGAGAAACCTCTCTATTGCCTTTCTAATACTCCTGGTTCCGAACAGAAACAGACGAGACTGATGACAAACCACTAATTAATGGTGCAAAGCCCAGCACTCACTCCCACAAATCAGGAATTGTATCTTCATCCTTTTGTAAAACACATAGTACCAATCAGACACTTGGCTATCTAAAAGTACTGCTCATACTGTCTAGAAGAACTTCCAGGATTCAATGTAAGCTTTATAAAACAAAACCTAATCAAAATAAGAGGGCAGTACACATATGCAGTCATGCTTACAGTGACTTAAGGTCCTTCTTAACCTGAGGCTATTGTGCACTTCCTCAGAAAAAGTGGAAAAGGAGATGGAAGAAGAAGAAATACTGGTTATTTGCCAGCTCAGACCAGTTAAGAAGAAAATACATATATGAATATTCTTTCCATTAAAAGGAAAAAGACTCGTGCCCAAGGCAGAGCTGAGTAGGAGAGGATGGATACACTCGTAGTACCTCCACAATCTTCCCACTCTCCTACATGAAAAGTGGAAAAAGGGCATCAGTAGCTGCTCCTGCTCTATTTGTAAGAAGCACATCCACTGATCATTTTGTGCATGGTCTCTTCATTCCTGGTTTCCTCTTCCTAAGTCTTACCCACTGCAGCAAGATGAAGCCAGGAGACTAAAACCACTACAACTGGATAGATTACAGATATGCTATATAGACTATTAATGATTCTTTCCATGATCAAACCTTGTGATTCTTATCAACAGCATGTGCTATTGGCTTTAAGATGGCTTTACTTTTTAAAATTAGCTATATGGCTTTTCAAGATTGCCAGTACAGAATGCTGAATAATACAGCCTCTTAGAGTGAATGCATAATTACAATCCTTACACTGGACTAACACATCTCCTGTAAAGAAACAGGGTAGGGAACACTTCACATCCTTACTTCTGCCTGTCTCTGGTCTGGTGAACACATATTTTTTCCCAATCTTTCTGAAAATAGACATTCAGCTAATTAAATGGTTTAGCTCTTAGGACAAGAGGAAGAAATACATTCTTCAACCTATTATCATATCCCAGAAGTTAAATGAAAAGTCCATTTCCTTCTCATTCACATCAGACTGCTTGAACACTCTACCCAGTCTCAGTTCGAAGGTACCCAAGAACTGTCCTGCCTTTGCTAACGTGAACTCCACACATCTCACACACCCAAAACACAAGTAGACCCGCTACAGGAAGCATCAAGGCATACACTGCATACATGAAACTAAACGTGAATTCAGCAAGAAATGGGAGAGATTACATTTGAAGAACATGAAAGTGCATTCTCACAATTTAAATATTTTGTGGGTGTCAGCTAATCAAAAAGGCAGTCTGCTATTTCCGAGCAGCTCCACTGCTATGAGCACAAACAAGGTATTGAAACAATTTGTCCAGCCTACGGTTTACAAGACAGTAACAAGGTGCAAGTTGGCCCCAGCTATCTTTCCACACACTAAAAACAAAGTCATGGGCTTTGAAAGCTCCACAGGATGTAAACTAGCCAGACCCTAAGTCACAACCCAGCATCTCCACAGGGATAATAAGTCATCTTCAAGAACTTGTGAATTTTGTATTCCAACAAATTCCTTTTCAATTCAAATTTCTACACATTAACTTAAAGAAAAGTCTCTAAGGAACTTGACTGCTTCTGTTTTACATACCAGGGTCATATGATGGTGGAGGTGGTGGAGGGAGTTTTCCACCATCTTTAAGATTAAGTCCTTTGGCTGCTCGTATAGTTGCTATAAATTCCTCATGCTTTCGTCTCCAGTTAGAAGGTTTTTTGGGTGGTTCTGGCTAAGAGGAAAAAAAGAAAGCTTTGTATATTTGAAGATTTCACTTGAAGCTAAGTATTCACTTTATTTTAGTACATAACACCACAGTTAGATTTCTCCCAAATCTTAGTTGATCTAAGTAACACGAACTGACAGCAGAAACAAGTCTTACTTAAATGCATATACAGTATGCCTAAAATGTTCATATTCTGAGTAAATTATAACATACCCGTGGCTTAAGAGGTTTTACTGTGGGAATGTCAGTTCCTTCTGCTCTCTGTCGGCTGGAATCAAATGTCTTCCTTTTCTTGGAAGAAGTTTTTTGGCAAATGGGTCCATGCTTTTTCTATAAGCAGAAGCAAAATGAAAGGAGAATACAGACCTCAGTTTTGTAAACAGAACTTATTAACACACCATTTCCCCCTTTCTTGATATAAAAATTAGCAAAAAAAGCCCCAACTCTTGTTGCATAAGCTGAGACTGTTTTCACTCAAACATTTATGCCAGCCACTACCTCTAAAACAGAAGTACAGGAATTCACAGATGTGTACACAGACTCACAAAAACACAGGTGATAATGAAGAAGAAAAGTAGAAGGCATCTATATTTGTTACTTGCACATAAAAAAATTATAATAGGTAGGCAGCTTTTGCATTGAGTGGCAAAACAAATCAAAGGTGTCTGAAATTCGTATTCACATTTAAGGACAGATCGATTTCTCTTAACAGTGGAGAAAAGAGTTTTGGAGATGGCTAACAAAACTCTTCATTTACTAGCTGAGACGTAAAACTGCAGAAGACAAGGATTGATTTTGTAACCCTAGAAAAGATGCTTTTAGAGGCAGGTATTTCAGAAAATGATGGGATCTTAAAATAAAATTAAATCCCTTCTAAGGAGCTTCAAACCTGACACAACTGAAATCAGTAACTACTTGGGGGGAGGAAAAAGGCCAACACCAAAACCCCTACCAAAACAAAGAACTTAACTCTATTTTATTTAGCTATAGTGAGCAATGCTTAAATTTCATATCAACTTATCAAATCTAAAAGCCAGCAGTGCTCACATCACTTACCAGAGCTGCTGGGAAGAAAGTTCTTCCACAAATCTTACATGGCAACAGATCTCCAGTTTGCACTGCAACTTCACCTTAAAAAGACCAACATACTTCTTTGAGAAAATTTTATTAAATTAATGACAAAACATTATTTCAAAAATGCTAACCTCACAAACACTTAACCATAATAGCAGTTGTTACTGTAAAAACATACATCCTTTGACTTGTGCAGACTATACAGATGAGAAAGGCAAAAAATATACTAAAGTCCTTAGGTACTTTTGGAAGCTGTCAGGCCCAGCAACATGTCACCAGCAATTCTGCTTATTTATAATACATAACTCTGCTCCCTTAAAAGGATGCATATCAATATGCAAATAAAAAAATCTCCTTTAAGTCCCAATGACAGTCCAAATACACACAAAGAATAAAGCTATTTAGTGGGTATTTCTGTGTCTTTGGAAGAGATCAAATTTAGTATCAAATCCAGAAAAGACACATTTATTTTGCTCTACTAAGTGAAACTACTCCACTTTCTCTTGTAAACAAAATAGTCCTGAATGCTATTTTTACTATATATTTTATTCGGATTATTACTTGTGGTTTACAGAAGTATTTCTGATGTTGCTATTCAAGCATTGGTAACAAAAAAAATGTAAATAGCCAATTTGACATAGAGTAGATCCACAGAACCAGACAAAAGACCAACAACTCAAAGTATCTAGGCCTATGCAAGCAAATATATTTATATAGCAGGCATAATGCAACAGAGTCATGGCAGAGACTAAAAACTCTAGGGTTTCCCAATAAAAAGCATCTCTTATATCTAGTACTATACCAGAGGAATACAGGGATATTTTTATATCACATAGACATTAAGAAAGAGGCAGTAAATTTGGATTATATTTGAGACTTAGTAGTAGCTTTCTCAATCTGACTGTTGCAGACAATACAACTGCTTCTATTTACACCACATTGAAATAAAACCACTTGGAACTGACTTGTATTTTAGGCAAAGCAGCATCTTAAACTAACAAAGTTATCAACATAGTAATGGTCAATGATTTGATCAGCTTTTGTGCCCAGTTTCCCAGTGGGAAACTGTTTTCCATATAAACGTACACACTTGCTAACTAAGTGTATGACCAGTACTAAAAAATGAGTAATTTCATTAAATACTTCACAGTGAACAAACATAGATTCAGGTAGCCATGGTTCCCACTGAAAATATTTTTTGCCCAAAGGCAGAGATTAAAACTGAGTGAGATCTCTATTACCAATTACCAATAAGCAGTTACTTCTGATTTTTTCAATTACTTAAAGCAAATTCACCCCCAGTATGTAACTGCATACAATCTAAGAGTTGTATGAACATACTATGGAGCATAATGCATTTTAAGACTCATAAATCACACAAAAAGTGCAGTTAAAACATTTCGTTCATACCTTTAATTAATTTATATACCTTTTCCATGTAGATATGAATAAGCCTGTCCTTAGCACAGCACAGCAGAACTGCACTGCCAGTAACCAAATTTTACAAATGAAAGTCATATTCAAGCTTCCTTTTGTGCCATCTAAATATCTGTGCATTTAGATGAACACAAACAGGAGAAGTAGGAAAAATGCAAAACATGCAGATGAACCTTGGTTTTCTTCTATTCTTGCATTTGAATTATACTTGTATGCTATGAAGATTTACTAGGAATTTGTTTTTAAGTGTTTTCAACTTGTTTTTTTCACACTGTTTTTTAAAAAATCATGTCCAAAAACTTTTCCATAGCTCTGTTTTCTTAAATCCACAAGCCTGAGCACATGAACACTGGTACAAAGATGAGATAGCTGCGAACCTGCCCTCACCACTGCTCTGAAGGGTAAGCAGCAATGGTTGTAACCTTTTCTCAATTACTCCACTCAAAAATACATGATATGCACAGGTTTGTTTGCTTATTTCATGACTTCATTAACCTACATCTCTGCAAACTCACTTCTGCTAAAGAGTTCAACTTCTTTTTATGACATCATTATGATACAATCCTCAGCTTTTCAGAAACAAGTGAGAGAGGCACTTCCCAAAAATATGAAATGACACTGTGTGTGTCTTCAATAAATTAGCTGAAATAAACAAGAATTAGTGATGCTGACATAAGGTATACAACATATGATCAAGAATTTGGCTGAGAAGAAGATTCTTTCAAATACCTGCCAAGGTAAAAGAAGCTACATGTTCCACAGTTTTCTGTGTTCACTGAACTCTAAAATTTGAGCTGGTGTTTAAATTCCGCATTAGAAGAAGCAGATTTAATAGCTGCTCACTTGAACGAGCAGTATTTACATACGACATACCAAAGCACAAGGAATGCCAATTACCACTTAGTGCAGCTACAGTTACAGAACTGCATTTCCTGATAGCATTCCTACCCTCCCCTGGTGCTGGCAGGTAATCACATCTGCCTAGAGCTATTGCTACTGCCAACACCTCCCGTGTAACAGAAATCACTGACCCAAAGCATATAAGGAAGCTTTTTTTAAAAAATGAAAGTTCCTGAAGTTTTGTTGAAAATGGGAAGCCAAGTGTCCTTTATATATATATACACTTACTCTTCCAGCTTCCTAATTCCTCTGTGATGTTCCTCACTTTTAAAGTAAAAAAAATCCACCAAAATCAAACAAACCAAAACTACAAAAATTTAACATTTCTTTCTATGAGTCTACGAGTCTTCCCTGACAGAAGGGTTAGCAATGTTCTCCATGTGAAATCTGCTAACATAAAAGTAAGACATGGGAATAAAATTGTGAAAGTTGCAATTGAGTTCGTTGTGGCTTTGTTTTGCTTTTTTTTTAAAAAAATATATTCATGTGTGATATCTATTGCAATATTTTTCCTGAAAAAATTTAACCAAAATGGTTTTTAATTTGGGATGCACTGTGGGGAGGAGACTAAAAAAAAAAAAAAGGACACTCAAATCAGGAAACAGAAGGAGGATATGCTTGACAAATTGGTCTGAGAATAGAAATTTGTAGCAAGATAGTGTCATGGCAATTTTCTTCTGTCTGTAAATTTAGCAACAATGCAGGACTTCTTTCTAAAATCATTTTGGTTATACAGCCACAAAAAACCCAAGATCCAGCAGTTACACTTCTTTTCCTTTTTACCAACTTTAATACTATTAATCACCAGCAGTTTAGATGCTTGTATTAAACATGAATGAATATAGTTAACTTGGACTGAAATATTACTGCTTATCTAATCAAAAGAAAAAACATCTATAGAAAATATAAATATGATCCAAATTGTTACGTGAATACCACAGACGTGGTATTTCAGTGGAAGTGATGCCAGAACTATGATACAGAGCTTTATATCCTTTATTCTACTGCCTCCCTGAGACCAGGTGTCATAAAAACACAGTGCACAACCTAGTATGATGCTGGGTATCTGACTTAACCTTATTAGCAGGACTACAATAATCTTATGGTTCATGTTTGCAAACTTCCCCCGTCAGGGCTCCTCCTCCTCCAGTTACTTCCAAATCACAGGGTCTGTACCTACATGAGTTATTGCACACATCCCTTCTGAGTATGGTTACAGTCTAGCTGCCTATACTTCCTGATCCTGAAGTTAAAGAGTTTAGCTGGGTGGACCAGTAAGTCTGACATTACAGCTGTACAGTCTCCAGATGTATCATGGTGCTTTCAGTATCATATATAAGTTTAGGCTTCCTTGAAACCTAGATTTCAAGGGAACAACTTCTTTCTTTCTCTCTTCCCATATTTGGATACCACAATTGATTTACGGCAGAAAGGGCAAGCTGCCAGCTCTCAGTTTATCTTTCTCAGTACAATGTGTGAACCCATCAATACATATAAGTTTGATCTGATACAGTCACAGCCATAGCACTTGTTCTTGCTGTCATGTTTACAGATAAAGCAGTTGTGTAAATAAACACCTAGAGGGGGCAGAAGCCTCCAGCATTGCTGAATAACTGAAGTTTGGAGAGCTCCATGTACCCAATTATGTGGGTGCATTTAGATACAAATTGCAGAAACAAGATTCCACTTTGTAACAATATTTCATCATGTTGTAAAACCTGACTGCCCCTCGAAACCTTTTATTTATCTACAGCAGTGACAGTACTAAACTGTTTAGGTCAGACAACTGCGATAATCACAATTATCAAACCTCTCTGAATTCAAATATGCAGAAACACCCTGGTACAATTCCATGCCTTGGGATTAGGTACCTATTTGAAGCCAGCAAGAAATCTGCAAGAGTTGAAAGTTAACACTTGAAGAGCACTTGCCAAATTCTTCCTCAAAATTGTATTTACTGCTTTCAGCATAACTCCATATTTTGCATGGCCTAGCCAACGGCAAATAGTACAAGCAAGAGGCACCTAAAAATCATACCAATGTAGTAACACAGGCACGGAACACTTCACAGAATCATAGAATGGTTTGGGTTGGAAGGGGATCTTGAAGATCATCAAGTTCCAAGCCCCCTCCTGTGGGAAGGAACACCTTCAACTAGACCAGGTTGCACAGACCCTTGAACATTTCTCTTAAATTAGAGCATTAATTTTTTAAAAGTAGTTTTGAAGATAATTAAATAACACAATGAAAATATGAATTCCAAAAGGAATTCATACCTACCAAAGTAGGAAAAAAGTATTCCAATAACGATCAAAGTTTTGCAAATTTGCATTATTTTGTCAAAAGGAATTCTGAAATGAAAATGCAAGTAAGGTGAATACACTGACTGTAATTCTTAACCACAGGCAGTACTTGCCATACTTCAGTCAAGTCTGCTTGATAAATGATGATGTGCATGTTTTACCCCACCAAGCACATCCCTTCTCACCTGTGCTATTCTGCAGCTTGCAGGAAAGAGACAAAGGAAGAGGAAATCATAGTAAGCTCTGCCTCTTATTATTCAACCATTCACATACTTTGAAATTTTTAATCAGCTAAGTTTTCACAATCGTCTAGCAAACAGCAGATTAATCTACGTTTATCTGTCTACTCCCAATTTTATAGGAAAGCGTCATGAATTCTCCTGTACTCCTGTATTGACAATCTTGTATAAACCTGT